TTGTCGTCTTCCTGGTTGGTGCTTCAAAGATTTATCAGGCACCTCTGGGCAACCAAAACTCTGAGCCAATGGAGATGTATTTTGCATGAGTTCCACTGTTTTCCTGACACATACTTGACAAAACAGCCATGACCTGCTCAGAGGAGTTCTGAATTTGCCATGCAGATAGAACTAATTCTAAAACAAGAAGTGAAATAGTTGTCAAAAATTTGTACAGCAGGTGTCTGAGCACTGACTTTATTGAGCAGATAAATATGGTTTTACATAAACAAATTTAGTCTGTAAGCCACTGCAGATATCCAATACAGTAATTAAATTGAGGGGCAGTACACAGCAACATGAGATGGAGACAACAAAATAAATGGGTCAAGTTTTTATTGTGATCAAGACTTTAAATATCCAAATATTCTGTGGAAAAAAATGTGTTGGCTCTTATTATGCTATAGATAGGTCAGCATGAAGAAGTACAATCTTACTACATTTCTTACATAAATTTCCTTCTGTACTTATGTAATTTTGCATGCAGAAGAGCTGTAAAAATGATAAATAGTATAAACACAAAATCAAAAAAGTTGAGATAAAAAAGGGAATTGTTTTTTCTGTCACAGCTAAACACTGTTATCAAATGGAAGTTAAGAAATAACTGATGCCAGTATGTAAGTAGTTGAAAGATTTTTTACTAGGAAGCCTGTCTTCTGCATGGACACATAGATCTGCAATAGTATTAGTAATGTTGCTTTTCCAGCGGCATTATCTAATCCAACATTTGGAAGACATAAGAATGAGGAGTTTTTAATCTCTCCATTTATTCCTGGTTTCATGAGACTTAAGCTTTGACATGGACCCTAGGATGATGCAGGATATTAGATCATGGCACACATACTGTAGGTTTTTAACTCAAAAATCTAGAGAACTCCAAGTTCTATTTCCAGGATTTGAAATTTGATTTCTTATCCATCCTCAGCCTTCTGTCTGCATGGCCTTGTGGCAGCAATTTGCTTTCTCTTTTTCTCCATTCCCCTTTCTACTCTTTAAATCCCAATAAATACTCCTCTTCCTTAAAATATGAATAATTAAATAGCAGTCTAAAATTAAGATCTTCAATGGAAAATAAAGAGAAAATTAAGATAAAAAATCTGGTGGTTTACAAAATTTTCCTTAAAATAATGACTAAACTTACAGATCTCTCTAACTGTCAAAAGAAGTCAGTTGAAAACATATATATGAAGCCTTAACACATTTTGCATGACCTTCAGTTAATTTTTACCTTCCTGCTTTCAGTTAATTATGTTACACATGAGACTCCTCCTGGCGCTTTTTCAACATCTGGATGCCCTTGTTATATATTTCACCCCAAAGTCTGTACATTCTTTTGGACTAAGTGATTATTTCCCTGAAGAAATTCCTACTCAGGTGAATTTTTCATGATTTCTGTCATTAATTTGTCCTTCCTCACTAGAAGGAGCATTTTTTTAACTCTTACAAAAATATAAGAGGAGTATTAATTGTCATTAAATGTCTACTGGTTGTGCCTAAAAAATATTAAAAATATATGTCAAAGAAATAAAAGCTATAGCTTTCTTTGTTAAGAAAGATCAGTAGATAAAAACACAGAACAACATATTCCTGGGATTGTACTGCCTTTTTTCTCCTCGGGCTTGAATTCATTCCTGTGGACTATTCTACTATTTCAACATATGGAGAGCTGAATTTTCCCCTGGCTTAATTAAAATCTCTATTCCAGTGTAAAGTACATTTTGCTTCCTTCTGCAATCAGAACACCATTTCCAAATCAAACTCTGACTTGTATGAGCGCTGTCATATTTGAAAATATGCAAAAGTTATTTTGGTCATGGGGACAGAAAAATATTCAAACAGCGTAATAGATGAAGTGTAATCAAGCTCCTATTTCTCCATAGAAAATATCATTTGAATTATGCACATCTACTACCATCTGAGACATGACTTTTTAGAAGTCTGAGTGGGATATACCAGTTTCCCTGATTGTTTAAATGGTCCAAATTCTGACATATTTTAAGAAGTCATTTTGTAGGAAAAACATCCTCAGTGACCATATCTGCTTAGATTCCACAAGAAAATTCTACTGAACCATGTTGCAGATAGAAACGTCCAGCAAAACTGGAGCCACAAATCAGTTTGTTGTCAATAGGTTGTCTTTATTCTTTGTCATACAGGATTGTGGAAGCCACTGTGTAAATCAAAGAGTTGATTAAGTTCCGAGATTTCCAGGAAAAAAACCTAGTTTCCAACCAGTGCTGATGTTTACACTTCATGCAATGCACCTGAAATATTTAAACAAATGAAAAGGAAAGGGAGAAAGCCCAAACATCTCACTGTGCATGCCTGAAAAAGCACTGTGGCATGTATGTAACTTCAACTGGTATTATCAACCCAATTGATATATTGGGTTAATAGGCAGTTAAATTCAGACAAAAAAGAAAAGGGGTTTTTAAATGCAAAAGTTTGTCTTGAGGTTTTTAAGCTATTTCTTTCAATGTATTAAATAATGCTCAAATGTCCACTGAAGTCAAACTTCCACTGAACTAAATCTGTTTGTGGATACAAAATGATCCTGCTAAACTGAGCTGTGGCTTGTCACTTGTGACAGCTGTGGTGCATCTGCAACAGGAAAAAAATAGCCGCTACACTCAGCAGAGAGGCAGCCAAGCCCTCATGGGCCAGCTGGCAGTTTCCCAAACGGTTGGGATGTTTGCAGTTCTTTGTCATAACAACAGCATTCGCTCCCTTTGTATTCCTCTTAACAACAGGAAAGTTACCCTTCATCATTACTGGAAAAATGATGCTGCTTATAAGCAAATGTTACTGCTTCTAGAGTAATACATTGTCTGGTCTTCTCTTTTCTCCCTCAGATTATACTTATACAGATTCTTATACTGAATCCTTTCATAATATGGTTTTCCCTATTAGACTTCCTGTAGCAACTATATGAATGTTACGTTACTGGAGAGGGAGGAAGAAGCTGTTTGCTTTGCACATACGCAAAGTGGTGGACCTCTTTCTTTTGTAAATTGCGGTGAATGTTGCAAAATAGTTTGACAGCAGCTGGTCCTGCTATTGTGATAGACTAATGAGAGTATTTGACCCAAGTTCCTAGCAATTAAATCCCCAAAAGCCGACTATCATCTGAAAGAAATAAGACATTTTCTTATACCTGTTCTAAATATCAGTAGCGAAATAAGGAACTCTAGTCTAAAATGAGTTTTTGAATTTGAAAAAAAATATTATTTTCTGACTTAACAGCATAAAGTGACAAGTTTTTTTTGACTGGCTTATTAATTAATTGATTTTTTTAAAAGCAGGATTGAGCTGTACCATAAAACTACCCCTTTCATTAAATTATCTGCTCATATCGAAAGTCTTCACTGTAGTCAAATTAGGGATTCAAATCACTTTCGTTCTTACCCATATACAGTTGCAGATTGGATTTTGCTAAGTAGAAGAGACACAAGACACATGAACAGAGAATTAGCTAACTTCCCAATATACCTGTTTGTAGGGAAGATAAATCATCCATGGATTCAAATGGTTGTACAAGTGTAATTGCACTCATTCTATTCAATTGCAGTTCAATAACACAGCAAAATGCATCTGAGAAATGTTCAAACCCTGTGTGCATCACAGTGGCTGCACACGGTTCACAAGAACAATAATACTGAAACTTCACAAAGCACAGCATAGGCCAGACAAGATAGCTTTCACTTGAATTTAATGAGGCAGTAGTCATAATGAGAGACAAATTAAATCACGTTTTACTCAAATTATCCATTCTGAAAAGAGTATTAATGCCACAATGAGTCTCTGAGTTGCAGCTAACTGAGATGATACAGCATGCTCCACTGTTTGATTCTAAAAATGGTAGAAAAAGGCCAAAGCCACTTTATACTGTCAAATGTACACCAATGGCAGAGGATAATTACTTTTATACATAGGTACCCTGTTGACTCTCAAATGGTACAGTACTTCATTCATAGCAAGAACAAGACTGAGGCATTGAAAAGTTACAGATCCAGAACTGAATACTCCTGTAAGAAAGCTCGTTCACCTAAACGAGAACTGTTGGTGTTGAGAGCAGGAACTCTGTCAGTATAATACTAGAAAAATATATTCAAATTGCTGCACAATGATGAATTGAGTGAGAATCCTAATCAAAACAGTGCTAAGATTTCCTTTCATAAGGATTATTAATACTGCATCACTAATGATGATTTTGTTTTCAAAATTACTTCATGCCAGCACAAAATCTGTGGAGGGGGAGAAATTTTACAAGTATCCATTTTATGGTCTTATCCACACTCTGTGGGGTGTGCATATAAAGATATCTGCCAATCAGTTTGTAGGAGCTGTTGAAGGAATCCTGTGCCACCTCTGCCACATGTTCCTCTTCCCCTTGTTGAGTGACCATTAGTAATTAATTACAGCCTACTGTCATAAATCTACTTTTCCCTCTGCTCTGATCTTTTAGCATGAGCTTGTGGTTTGACATGGATTAAGCGGTTCAAATGCCACCCTACAGGAAACCTAAAAAGGCAAAGCAGGGCTGCTCATTACAGACTGTGACACCACTGGAGACCCAGGGATTACACAGACCACTGTGGATCCACCATCTGGTATCACTTGTCCTTTCTCCGTTCAGATGAGATGATGAGGGAACTCCTTGCTCCTACAGTAAGTTCTACAGTTTGCATCAAGCAGGAGCCCTGCCAGGGCTGGTCATCTAACTGGCACAGAAGCTCTCCCAAGGTCATATAATGGCTAGGAGAGGATTTAGGATCACTTATCCCAGTCCTTTGGTTAGCATTTTACACACCACTGGGAGGAAACTATCACCCCTCAAATCTAGCCCTGTGGCCAGATGTTACATGGTTGAATAAGACAATAAATGTGAATACCTGATGATTTGGGGCAGCTAGGCAGGAGTCATGGGAGTAGCTGCTATACAAATCTTACAGTTTCAAGTGTTAAGACAAATCTTGAAAATTTCCATTTTCATAATGGTAAGAAGTCTGTTCCTCCATGTCTTGAGTTACTTGCTTTTGCTTCCTCCATTCCCTTCTCTGTACTTCACTATTTTGACTGGTAGCACCATACGTTTTCTTTGGGCTTACAAAAGTTTCATTGTTCATCTCTGTTTCTTCTGCCAGTTCATCCTGATCAATTATGCCACATTTCTCTTCACTGAGGTTTTCGGGGTCAGCCCATTCCTGCTTCTCCCCAGAGGCAAAGATAGCGTAGAATATCACACCACTGTAATGCACCAGGGCTGCAATCAGAAAGACGTTCTGCCATTCCTCACGGGTCTGAAAGAATAGTGCAGGTCTCATTAAGTTTCCAGTAATAAGAAATATCACTCTCCAAATTATGCCACAAATTAGTTCATATTGAGGAATGACTGTGAGCACTGTTTGATTCCTGATGCTGAAGATAGAACAACGTACGAGAACCATTGCAAAGATTTTTTTTGTACTATATATAATTACAGCATATAGTAAACTTGGGTTTCTTTGTTGTTTTTTTTTAATAGTAAAGTTTCTCTCTTGCATGTGAGATATTCGTGGAGCTGGAAATGCAAGGATTTCTCTAACAACTACACAAATATTATTGTAGATCAATGTTTGCTTAGAAACTATACCATAGGGGTATGGATGCATTGTAGAGTTTTCCAAGCCCTATAAGCATTGCACAGTTGTATGCAGATGCTGTGGAGACTCAGGTTCAGGTGGTATTAAAAAATATCTGCCTAGGTAGATAATTAGTTATAATTGCTGAGAATTAGGCCTAAGTGGTAATTAAAAAGTGCATGTTTAAGACAAACAAAAAGCAAGTGCAGAGACCAATGATGGAATGGCATCCCCAGGAATCTTTGAAATGTCTTAAATTTGTTGCATTACCTAACCCTTTTCCTAGAAAACATGGGGACTGTTACCTTATGCTTTGTCATTGCACCAACGATGAGTGGGCACACCATTCCCGACAGCGTCCCCACGCCGTTGGAGATCCCCATCAGAATGCTGGCATAACGAGGGGCTATGTCCAAGTGATTCACATTGAAGCCTACAAAAAATGAGAGAAACAGCCAGCTGAACAGCATTGCACTACCCGGCCAACAGGGCTTTATACAGCCATTCTGGCTGAAGAAGGCTAAAAAGGTTAGCAACCTCCCTAGTGCACCTCCAAAGATTATGTTGTATAGAAAATAAAGTTTCATTTGGCCCTGTTTAGTGTCTGTACTTTCCATTTTCTCATACCTGAACAGTGAACTTGGCAAATATTTTTAATCAAGGAATCAACGCTTCAAATTAGTGAAATGTCTTCTATCTTTTTATTTATGTAGTAGGGTTTTTAATCCATTTCTTTCAGTGTTTTAACCACATGAGTGGTTTAACAGCAGTTTAACAACATGATAGAAAAATAGAATATAAACCAGTAGGAAAAACAATTATCCTTACTGTAGTTTGTCTTCTGAGCACATATTTTATTAAGAAATAAAAACAAATACTAAATGTCAGCTGAGATATTTATCATTCCTAAGGTAATGAAAATTAGTCATATTAACTATGGTTGATCACAAGAAGTGACGATAAATTTCAAGTGCATGGTAATAAATAAGGTAAGAAATAGACTACTGGGAAAATCCTGCAATAAAAGTTGATTGATAGAAATGACCAGTTATGCAAGCACCTCGTAACTGAGCAGCAAAACCACTTTTCATCTGCGGAATCCTGAAATAACTGAACACCAGCAGTTACTTTGCTGGTCAATTTTGTTCAATAGATTCATGTTCTTGGCAGTCTTCTTGGAAGATCTTCAATCTTAAGAAAATCTTTAATCTTCATAGCAAGAGGAGTTTTTTTTCAGCGATGCTGGTACTGATGGTGCCACAAAACAGCTTGAGACTACAAAACGTGGGTGAGACTCATGAAAGTGTTAGAAGCAACTTCTGGAGAAGGGCTGGATGTAGGATGCAACAGAGGGAGGGCTGACATAGGAAGCAGAAATTGGGTGCTAGGGTTTGGGACAGAATTGTAACTGATAGCCTTTCTGCAACTATTCACTGCAGAGTAATTCTCTCTCTCCCTGTCTCTCTCTCTCTTTCCTTTTAGGCATACAGATAAATAGGATGAAAAGGTGACTGATAGTGTAAAAGTATATTAGAAAATAACAGCATAAAGCTGATGTAAATTGGGATCAATAAAGAGCAGGTTCTTTTCAAAGCTTCAGGTATTGTGTGCAACATGCTTCATATATACCAAAGTAAATTAGTTCTGATATGAGAAGAAATAACAAACACTCCATAAGTTGCTACATTAAGAGCAAACAAAATAATAGAAATTATGACAGTAAGAACAGTGAGGATAATAACATCAGTTTTATCATGAATAGTAAAAGCAAGAATAAGATTAATTCTTACCTGAAATTGCAAAGCCACTGAAGCCTACTGCTAACACCAGAAAGGAAATAGCCACACCTTTTGTGTGAGAATAACCAACCACCAAAAGCAAGGTTGCTTCCATCCCAAAGCCTTCCAATGAAACACATGAGAATGAATTACATTTAAATTTCTAGTTGCAATGAAAATACTAATAAGCACTATCCAGAGTAGCAGCTTAAAATGAGAGAAAATTTTTTTGTATCTTTTAGCTATTCTTGAACACAACTGGGAGCTTTGTGCATTTGCAGAAGTATTTGTATATTTATTGTTTGAGAATATATTCTTTTTTTCTCCTCATTCACTGCTGTATACATGACCCAAACCATTGGTGAAGTTAATTCACTGTATTCACTGAGCAATACAGGAAGAAAATTGAGAAAGCAAGTCTGTGCAAAGAGCAGAAAAATTCACAAACCCATAAACATTTGAGTGAAAGAAGAAAAACACTTGCCTTTAACTTCACATGGTTGTAGTGATACAAGAATTTCTTGGTAAATGGAACAAAAGAGTATTTTACGTACAACTGTGTTACCAACACAACAGGACATCCCTGAGCATCACAGGGAACTTTCAGTCTCTGCCATTATTGGAAATTAATATTTTCTAATATGTAACATTACAACTCTTCTGTTTTGTTGTTTTAATGACACTATTAATATGCCCTGAAAATACAATTAATTTAACCATCCTTTCTGAAGATGCATAGCCAAGTTATGTGATATCACTGGCTGCAGGCATCTCTATTTCAAGGAGTCTGTGCCATCTATAAATAATGCAAGCCAGCAATTGGCAGAGGGCAACTAACTACTCCATAGGATGTCTGGCTTGAAATCTTTTCTCTAATTCAATATCAACCATACATGTCACTGATTTTTCAGTTCAGTGATGGAATTGGAAACAAATTACTTCATGCTAGGTTAAAATTTTCCTGTTCATCTTTCACTTTTTACCCCCACCCTAAACCTTCCAGTCTAAACTTGTCAGTGGGCTCTGCTGGGAGTAGCAAATGGGAACATGGCCAGTTACTTCAAGAATATATCCATTGGGAAAGGGTCCCTCCAGCACCATGATACAGGGTTAACTTTGTATGAGTTTGCAGGATGAGGCCTATTTGATCATACTATGCTATTGCCTATTCGATTATTAACCAGACTTCTTGTCTCCTCCCTTTTTTAAAGCATGCTCATATAAGTAAGGATTTATGTCATGAGGCATCAGCTCTCCACTTAACGCTTCAGATTAACCAGCTATAAATGCAATCCTGAGTAAATTGTCTCTTATTACAGTTAAACTTGGGCAAAACTATGATACTTGGACTGACTGCAGCACACCATTGAAATGCCATATTTTCAGAATCCAATAGTACCTCCACAGTTCATGACCTTCCTTACAGTGGTAGTGGTTAAGATCTTCCTGCTCCGTAAGAAGTCAGCTAGCTGCCCTCCAATGGGCACAATGATTGTCATGACCATGTGAGGAACTGCAGACAAAAGGCCAACCTGCAATTAGACAAATGCGTGCTTAACTGTCATTTCTCCTTCAAGATTTAGAGGCAAGAGAACAGGAACCATAATGAATGCTTCATTTCTTTTCCCCTGGATAATTTTATCTGATTACAGCAGGTGCTTAAAACTGGGTGAGGGAAGAAAGATCTCCTTGTGGCCCAGGAGGGGAAACCAGAGCACAAGTGAGAATCTCACCTTAGAGATGCCATGCGATATCCCAAGTACTCATGGTTACTCTAAAGAGTTGCACAGAAGACTGTTTATGTTAAATTCTATTGTAGACATCACAAAGCCCTGTCATTTGTCCTGATACTGGAGTGCTTTATCTTGGTTTTCAACTGCGTTTTTATATTTTTGTTATTTCTGTTCTCAAGGATCTCCTTCCTGAACAACAAATCAATCTCTGCTTCCTGCCTCTGTGTAAAGGAAGGAAGCACCTGCACATTGCATAGGGACTGAAGACCATACAGCATAAAACCTGACATCATGAAATAATTTTACAAATAATTAAATAATCATAAATGTAAAAACATTGATTTCTTTTTATTCTTGTGGGATTACAGCCTACAAACTGATGTTCACCTTTTATTCATTTTCCCAGAATCCCAGAATTGTTGAGGTTGAAAGGACCCTCCTTCTGCTCAAGCTGGATTGCATAGAGAATGTTGCCCAGAAATGTTGTCCATACAGCTCCTGAGTATCTCCAAGCATGGAGATTCCACAACCAGGTAACCAGGTAATTTTTGTCCTCTTTTTGTGGCTTTCCATTAGCAATGAAGATCAAAGGATCTGAGGACTCTGAGAAGCCTGTTCCAGTACACAGTCCTCCTTGCAGCAAAAAAGTATTTCCTCATGTTCAGAAGGAACCTCCCATGTTTCAGTTCGTGCCCAGAGCACTACTGAAAAGAGCCTATTTTCATCATCTTTACACTCTCAGATATTTGTACATATGGATGAGAACCCTGCTGAGCCTTCTCTTCTCCTGGCTAAACAGTCCCAGCTCTCTCAGCCTTTTCTCATAGGAGAAATATTTCCATTCCTTCATTGGACTCTCTCCAGTATGTCCTTGTCTCTCTTGCACTGTGGAGCCCAGAACTGGACACAGTACTTCAGGTGTGCCCTCACCAGTGCTATATAGAGGGGAAATATCACCTCCTTTTACCTGGTGGCCTTTGTATGATGCAGCCCAGGATACCATTAGTCTTTACTGAAAGGACACACAGCTGGCTTATGTCCAGCCTGGTGGACCCCCAGGTCCTTTTCTGCTAAGCTGCTTTCCAGCTGGGCATATTCCCACATGGACTGGTGCATGGGCTTGTTCCTCCCCGGGTGCAGGGCTTTACACTTTCCCTCATTGGGCTCCATGAGGCTCCTGTCAGCCTGCTTCACCAGCCTGCCAGGGCCCCTCTACACAGCAGCACTACCCTGCAGTAGCAGCCACTGCCCCTAATTTTGTGTCATCTCCAAACCTGCCGAGGGTACACTCTGCTGCATCATCCAGGTCATTAATGAAGATGTCAAATAGGATCAGAGTCAGTGCAACCCCTGAGACAGAGTTTTAGTGATCAGTATGTCATCTTCTAGAAGATTTTCTTTGAAGCAGTAATTTAATGAGAAGTTTGAGTTTACTTTCAGCAATGTGCAACCTCATTACTTTGACAGTTGGTTTTACACTGGTTTTAAATTAGTGAGTTCACAGAGATGCAACTCTAGCATTAATGAAAAGCAGCTCAGAATAAACAGATATCACTCTTAATCCCCTATTCTTAATATCCCTCTTCATCTCCATGCTGTACTTGGCCATTTAGACTGTCATTGCTACCATGGCACAACCATTGCTTCTCTTGCAGAAGCTGGGCACACAGTGCTCCCAGAACAGATAAATAATGATGTTCTTTGTTATCAGCCTTAGACTTGCTTGAAAATAATTACCACATAGCAAGTACGTATGCTAAATTAAAGAGTTTTAAAAACTTTTCTAAAACAATTATTCTGTATTCCTCATTCATGCTCTAAAGAGGAAGTGTAACAATTCTGATTTTAATGAAATGGTGGTGGCACGGAATATAAACCTATAAAGAATTTGATCTTCATAGCTAATGAAAAGTCACAAAAATCAAGAAGAGGATAAAAATTACCTGGTTAAATGCTGAACGGTCAACACTAAACAAAATGTACATTTCCATTTACTGGTTTTTCACGATATGTGGGGGCTTTAAATCAACTATTTCCCAAAACAACTTCTCCATCCTTTCCTTTTGCTAATCATTTCATGCTCACATACTTTTATTTCTGTCAGGTCAGCAGAAGCGTGTCATGCCAAATAGCAGGAATAATCTACTGTAATGATTCCAGGTCTATCTGGTTCTCCTCAAATAACCAAACCATAGCACTGAGTGCCATGCCCAGTTATTTCTTTAACATCTCCAGATATGATGTTCACCTCCCCTCTGGGCAGACCATTCCAATATTTAACCACCCTTTCAGTGAAGAAATCCTTCCTGATGTTGAACCTGAACCTCTCCTGCTGCATCTCCTAATTGTGTTCTACAGGCCATGGTATGCCTGCATGGTATGCTTATTCTCATACATTTACCTTGCTTATTGCAAATCCAAAGACTTCTTCAAAGTAAGCAGGCTGGCTTATAAGGAGCAAGTAGAAGGTCCAGCTTCTGCAGAAGTTTGCCACAATGATTGCATAAACTGGCATTGAAGTGAAAAATCTCTTCCATGGAGTACTAAATTTCTAAAGGAAAAAATCCCCAAAAATTTGGGTAGATAGAGGCAAAATAAAGAACCAATATCTTTTATTATCAAGTCTATTAGATACATTGCATACAACTTACATCACAGATCACTTAAAATGCAAGTGAAATATATCACTTGAATTGCTGGCAAAAACGAGGTAGAGAATCCTTCTTAGAAGTTAGGATGTTAAAGGTGGACACTGCACTGCTATTGCCCTGCTTACTGAAATTACCTGAGATCTTCTGGAATCCTGCTAGTGGGATAACAGGAGCAGTAAAAGAATCAAAGAAAACTAGAGAAAACCTTGTGCCATCCCCACTTTTTGGCTGATGCACTTTGAGACATTCTGTTGAAAAGAGTGGGGAAAAAGGGTTATCCAAGCTAAGACACATGCAGTAGCACAGCAACAAGCAGCTACCTGCTTCAACCTAATTAGTTCAATTCAGAAAAAAAAGGCCTGTAACTTGCTTTTTTGGCATTTTCAATTAGTATTATGCTCTAGTACTCCATACAGCAGGAAACATATTGCAGAGACCTATTGATTTTTAATAGAATTCCAATCAGAAGCTGAGAACTGTAGCTATGGCTATACACATTGACATTCTCCCTTTTTTTGAAAAAAATGTTAATTGTGTTCTACAGGCCATGGTATGCCTGTAGTTGTGTGTGCACCCATGAAGTTGGTACCAGTTTTCTCTGCAGAAAAACCATTGTACTGCAAGGAAAATCCATGACCTGGAATAAGTGTGTGTGTGTGTCTCCAGCCAAGACTTGATCAGCCGAATTTCAGACGCATGCCCAAAAAGACAGTCTGGTACTTTACACTCCCAACAAGGCTGCTACCCAAAACATGTAGAGGAAAAACCTGGAGTTACTTGGTTCTAGAATGTTCAAAACTGAAAGCTAGGAATGAACAAGAAACACCTTTGTTTTTCACTACTGGCAAAAAAAGTTGCCTAAGGGAACGGAGGGAAATTTGATGGGAAAATAGGTTTTAACTCAAAGTTTCCAGGATCTTCTCAGAGAGAGGATGAGAAGTCTTAAAGGATCTGAGCTGCTGTGAGAGTGAGCAGGGCAGAAACCCAGTCCTTAAGCTATTAGATTTGTAATCATCCTTAACAGGAGTTCAAAAGGCAGCTGGATAATTTAATATCTGCAGTCAAATTCTTATTTAGCAAAATCCATGATTATTTTTTAGAACAAGCATGACAATTACTCAAAAGCAGGAGATCAGAATGTGTGGTTCCCCCTCCCAACCCATCCCTTCCCTCCCTAGCTCAGAGGATCTCCATAACCCAAGAGTTTAAACAGCATTACAAGTTTTCCTGTACTTATCCAGTACTTTCCTGTACTCCCTGCAAGAGTCTGATTCTGTAATTTTCTTGAAAAGAAAAGCCTGCTAACAGTATCCATCCAGTCACATGCTCGTCTTCTGCAAAGTGCTCACAAATGACAACAAGGAAAGCCTTTTTTTACTTACACTTGCATTAGCTAGGCTGGCTCCTTCTCCTATACTTGTTTCTATATATATCCTTTCTTCATTGGTTATTGTTGGATGCACAGCAGGGCTCTCATAGGCATGAAGCAGCCAAAACACATACCAAACAATCCCAAACATTCCTGTAGAGGCAGGAAAAGCAACTTGATTTTCAAAGCCAATAAAACTGCACTTCAGTATCTGCAAGCCTTGAAGTTTATTTCAAATGCCAGTTAAATAAAACCTGCAAAGAAATTATGCCCAGGAAGTAACAAAATAAGGCAACTAACTTTGTGTATATTGTGCCTGCTTGCAAAGCATTTGAGCATTTTGGCACTTTTATTATTTCTATGCATGGGGCAAAGAAAAGGCAGGAAAAAACCTCTCTGTAGGACCTAGGGAAAAAAAGAGCAGATGGGCCATAAAGTGGTGGGAATCTGCAAGAAGGGACTTCACTGTAAGGTGGAAATGGCAAATCTTGTGCTGTGCCCTGTATTTCTGGGGAAGACAGAGAAAACCCACTTTAACTGGGCTGCCAATGTGCAAGGCTGGTTGCAGCCACCTCTGCCATACACTCTGAGGGGAAGAATGAGGCACCACAGATCAGCCACAAGGCCATACCCATGGGACCATTTTGTAAAGGTGGCACTGCTTTATTAAAGGTGGGCAGCATGGGGAAGATTTCTCAGGGCAGAAGTTTTCAGGTCCATTTGGCTCCCTGTCAGCAGCATTTGCTGTAACTTTTGCTGTTAGTGTGCACTCTGGGACAGGTTCCACACAAGTGCTTGTGCTTGCAAAGAGGAACCTTTTTAACTGCATCCAATCCTGTCACTGGGTGACCATGGGCTGCAGCCTGGTCATTACAATTTTACAACCTTTTGTAACAGATGATTACAAAGTGAAAGCTCTCAGAATCTGAAAAAAGCGGGGAATAAATTGGAGCACCCATTTGCAACCTCTCCAATCATCAAAATAACTTTGATCCGTCCTTGTTAGACAGGTTTTAATAAACTACTGGCAGTACTGATCCAGTGGCAGATGTCCTTCATGTTAGGCAACTCACCATAAATGTAAAAGACTGAAGACCATCCTATGTACTGTACCAGCACTCCTGCCAGGGGCATGGCCACCACCGCACCTGCGTAAGATCCTGAAGAGAAAACAGATCAGTAAAACATGTCAGCTGTGGTAGTGTGCCCAGCTCTCAGAGCACATGATCCAGACAGGTGCTCATGAGAGCAGAACTGGAAGGATGTGTTTGACTGACTTTATGAACTTGGAGGATGGGATGGAAACTGCAAAATTTTGACTGGGATGACAGGAAGCACTGACCCCTCATGCATCAGCAGTCTCTTTTTGCAGAGTTGTGCCTTGTAGGGAAACAGGATTTGAAAATCCAAGACTGATGACAGAAAACTGCAGAGACATGAGCTATGTGTGTGCTCCTTAGTGGGAAATCCCACCTGGCACTGTGGTGTGTGAGGTGAGATTTGGAGAAGATAATGGACCGAGTTTCAAAAGTTTCATGGAGGAATCCTGATGACTGCAGATATGTTGGGAGGCTCTTGTCATAGACCTACACCCATGACCATACAAGCACTGGTAGCAGAGAGGGTGTTCAAACCAACCCTGAGTCTGTGGAACCATGCTTAATTCATACCAACAACATAAACAAACAGCTGGAATAAATAGGCAAATATTGACAGAGGGATAAAAGAGGATAAAAATGTGGTCTGTACCAAGGTTTCTGATTGGGAAATACATAATACTGGTGAAATATATTTCTAAGTGTCTTGTGGAAAGCGATGAGTATTTAAGTGCAATCTAGATAATAGGTTTCAGTGCAAGACAGTGCCAATGGCTTTATATGTGAAGAGTGTTGTTCTGAATTATTCTAGGAAATGAGATACTTGTGGTTTTGAGAGTAGTGCATGTTTTGTTAATAAACATTTGTTAATGCTCCAGTCATTAGCAAATACTTCTTTGCAATGGTTCACAGTGATCCTTCTCCCTCATCTTCATGTAATTAATTTTTCCTACAGCTTTCCTACAGAAAAGCCCTAGGCCAGAATGTAGATAGAAAAACCAGGAACCTGCTTAACCTGGATTTTCCTAATTTTTCCATTGCTCCTATGCACCTTTCAAGTGCAAGGATCAGTGACCTGTAGTACTAAAATGGATGTCAAGCTGAAGGATGGATCTTTCTCTAGAGATCCCATGCTAGAAATTTCACAGAGGGAACATTGAGTGGAGAGGCTTTTCTTTGGATCTTTTCTTCTGCTGGAAGTGAAAACACCTAAATAATTAAAACCTGAAGCCATCTGTAGTAAAAACAAAATTCCCATAATATACAAACATGTGGTTTTTTCCACTTGCTTCACTCTTCCTTTTATTTTCTATCTTTTTTTTTTAGTGCTGTATTTTCCCCAGCCATACAACTCTACTGCTGATGGACAGAATTTTTTTTTCCTGTGACTTTTACATCTTTACTGAACATTTTCTCCTACAGACATTCATCTTCAGCTGTCAGCATTGGAAAGGGACACAGAGAAGAGAGCAAAGCACATGTCTGATCATAACTCAGAATGAAGCAGGGCAGCTGCTGGCGAGAAGTTACATCACCTCTGCTGCAGTATATTGAACAACCACCCTAAAGTAATGAAGATAATTTCAGATAATTTTTAAATGTGTGCTTGTTTAGAAGCATCCATTGAGTATGTATAATAAATGGAATCTCTAAGGATGATGCAAATAAAAAAAAATACAATATAATTTCTCTCATGTGAACCTCTAGACTCAGTTTATTATGAGAGCCATTTTGAGTATTGGCTTGAAATGATAAAATGATGGCATATTAAACAAGAAAGGACTCACAAGTTCCTAAGTTTAGGGAACAAGGTGATTGTAGCAAAGGGCAGAGTGTCTGTGCAACTCCTTCAAATAATGAAATTCATAAAATAAATCTAATAAGGACACATGCTTACATGAACCATACCGGCCCATGGACTCACCACAGAATGAAGTGGTAGCCAGCCTGCTCCTCTCCAGCGGCGGGGCCCACTTACTCCACATCCCGTGGCAGGCTGGGTACGTGACGCCCTGGCAGACATTTCACACATCACATGATTTGCTTTCACTGCATTCCACCTGAAGCAGTTGCTGATGCTATCCCTACTGCCTAGCTGTTTGTCACCATGGAATGGTACAGGAAGGGTAAGGTAAGTCTGGAAGAACTCGACTGCTTGAGTATGAAGTTGTCACACTAATCTGAATTACCCGTTACCTGAAGAGTAACATGTTCTGCGGTAAAAACACTGTTTAGTATATGCAGTTGATGGCACAAGAAAACTAAAATAACTCAAATTGCAGCACCAGAAATATACATTTTTCTTTAAGTAAACTTAGAAATATAATCAGTATAATTTACAACCTCAAAATGAGCAGCAAGTAAAACCATATATTGATGAGAAACCCTGATCAAAAGAGATCTTATGACTTATAGAATCAAATCTCAAAATCAAACTCAGTTTGAAAGGATCAAAATGGTGTGTGCTCCTACCTCCACCAAACCTTGAAGAATCCTTACAAACATCACACAGCCATAATGCACTCTTGCTGCAGAAGGGATGATCATGTTCAGTGTAGATGTTAGAAAGATAGCTGCACCAAATACCCTATGGAGAAAAGTAGCATGAAAGGGAATAAAATTATTATCTATTCTTCAGAAGTGTTTTCATGTTCCACTTTATAAATATTTATAAACTTATTTTAAAATATTTTGTTACAATTCTTTTTCTTTAAAATATGTATTTAAATTGTTTGCATTTCAGTCTCTGAAAACTTGTTCACAGGAAATATATGTGACTTCATTTTTGTGTCTGATCTTATTCACAGTAGGGTTAATGGTTGTGTTATAGCATGAAAAATTTACAGTCAAAGAACAACACTGTTTTAGCTAAATTCTCTACACCTATTGACAAAAGCAACAACCCACGCCTAGAGAGCTCATTATCTGAGTGACAAGAAAGCACTAAACAGATAAGCAAACAAAAGCAAAGAAGCTGAGCAGGCTTCTATATAAATCAGTTCCTTTGTCACTTCTCTAAGTGACAGAGGAACTGATTTATATAGAAAACAGTCTGAAAATATGAATTGGAATACAAAGCCCACAGTCATATCTTGACATTTAGGAGACTGCTTTAAAAGTCAAGTAAACATTTAACTGAGAAATAAGTATTATCTCTCTGTTTTGATCCCTGAAGAAAAGACTTCTGCGTTTTGCTTTCTTACCACTAATAGGAATATCAGGTCTGTTATCATAACACTGTTGACTCAGGGAACTACAGCAAACCATGTGAATTAATAACCATGTGAAAGAAGAAACTGTAACAAAGAGAACATGTTTAATTATCTAAACAGCTATCTCTAAAGACTGAGTTTCCAATCTCTGCTACTTCTTTTAATGCCAACTCTTAATATCCCTAGGTTGTAAATGCATCATTTATAAGGAATTAGAACCAGTCACTCTTCTGCTACTATTTAAAGGGTTGAGTATTGTTTCCACAGAGGCAGCATCTTTTTATCAATTCACTGCCATTTATTCCAAAGAAGTTTGTCTCCACTTTGACAAGAAATATTCCAGGTTTTTTCAATTCATTCACATATTCTTCTGTCCTCACTACCACAATTCCTGGGCAGCTGCCACTTTTGGATCCAAACAGCTACACGCTCCTCTGCCCAGCAGGGTGCTCTTCCTGAAAACTGGTATCAAGAGGTGCCTTGTGTTTCATGCATCCACCAAGCAATTCTGCCATCACATTTAGGTGTGTGTTTGAGGATAAGCACCAAGTTAAAGGGATGGTGTCAATAAATGGTTGATAAACTTTTTGGTGGAATGCAGACTACATCAATTTGGGTAAAGTATTGAGTAAATTACGTAGTGTTAGAGGGGTTTGGTGCAAACCCATAAAGCACTCAATATTTTCAGCCACTATGAGATCCATTTGAATCCCTCACTATCACAGATAATTATGTGCATTAGAGAAGTGCCTGGGGTGGGTTGTCCGTAGGTATGTTCAAGGTTGCACAGTTTAAACAAGTGGCAAAGGAGTCTTTGCCTAAATCTATAAGGTCAATATTAGCATAGAATCTCATTTTCAGAGTGCATCTGGGACAAAAGAAAGTTTTTCCTCTTTCTAGGGCTGGTAGGTTCATTGGCCACAGAACCCCTGTTTTTCTGCCCTGTGTCTTAGCAAATAACCCTTGAAACTGAAACTGAAACTTGGCACCACTAGTGAACCTACCTAAGCTGAAATTGGTTGGGTAAATGAGGAATACAGAAAAAACATGGACTTAGTGAATCCTATTACTGCAAATAGAAATTCTCTTTGAGCTCAGCTCTTGAGCTATTTTTGTTCCTCAGCAAATTCTACTTCTAAACCTAGTTATGATGGGCAAATCCATAATGTGATGTTATAGCATAGCTTTAGATTGGGTTGGAAGCTCTCATGGGGATAGTGATGTTATAGCATAGCATTAGACTGAGTTGGAAACTCTCACAGGGATAAATGCAGAGCTTTCTGTGCTTGTGAGCAGCCTGTACTTAAGGAACATTCTGCTGACAGAACACATCAAGTTATGGTGTAAACATGATTATTTTACTGCTTGCAAGTAAATTAAGGAAGCAAAAGCTAAACTAATAATATGCTGAATTATTCAGCCAGCAGTGTGCACATCTGTGTTTTGGAGCCCTTCTGCTGCAAAAGCTGGTGGCAAGACTAGAAAGGCTGGAGAAGTTATTAAGCTTGGCTAATTTGTTTGGCTTACTTGGCAGATGGAAAAATATTGTGCCTAGGCACTGTTATGTGGTAGAGAAATAAATAATTGAGGATGAGAACAGTGTGAAGAAGCAGTGCAAACCAAACTCTGAGTAACTTTTGGTTATGGACAGAGCAGAGTAGGACTGAACCGTCTGGGCAATTCTGTGGGATGATTCTGTTCTGGAGAAATTTCCACAAGGGCATATGGATGGGAAGAACATCCAGGCAGTCTTGTAACCCCCATAGCTCTTTGCAGAATGCAGAAAGCAAAGTACTTTGATTTGGGGCAAAGTACAACATAAAACTGGTTTTAAAGACCCTTTCCAATTCTGACACTATTTGTAGATAAGTCACATCTTGTTTGCAGAGAACAAAGTTAGTACCAGACATCTTTTTTTTATTTTAATCTGTAGATCCCAAGTACCCTTAATATGCACATCTCATGAGCTCATTCACAACGAGCTGTCTTCGGACAACAACCCTCTCTCTTGTGATAATACTCAAAGTTCTGAAGACCTTTTGATGTAAAGTCCAAAATCAAAGTTAACATTGACAAAATTAACTAGTTTTTCTTATTCACATTTTCAAAAGCAGTTGAATTTAAAAAAAAATGGCTGACAAACACATTGATCATAAAAAAAAATCTGTACAGATTCTCAGACTTCACCAAGCAGAAATCAGGAGGCTCTATTAGAAGTTCTATGCAATCTTAATTACAGTCAGTACTATATCCAACCTTGGCAAGGATATTTGTGTGCATGAGGATAGATTTGTCAATTCAGATCATAAATAGTTAAGTAATTTCTTTATTCCCAGCTTCAGTCCACAGGGACTGTGGACTGTTGAAGGAGAAGACTAAACACTGCTGGAAAACCATTGTTTGGTGTTGAGGTAAGGAGCACTAAGGCAACTTCTTAAAAAAAAGTGCTTCAAACATTGTTGGAAGAATTAGGTGTGATTTTCCTTGAACTCTCCAGAAAGCATTGTTTAGAGAAGAAATGTGTAAATATTTGAGATAAACAAGTTAAATTGAAAAAATCAACAATAGACCCATAATGGAAGTCTTGTCCTCAGAAATAATTTTTAATAAATTATTATTATTAATGATTCTTGATAAATACAGAATTTTCAGCCTCAGATGTGCGTTTCTGAAGCACTAATTTGCTATTTTAGTAATTTCCATTTACACAGTGTAAAACAGTTGTCAGACTCTAAAGCTTAATTCATTTGCTTGTTGTTGTCTTACCTGTTAGCAGCCAATTTGTTTGAGATGAACCCTCCTGGAATTTGTGTCACAATGTAACCCCAGAAAAAAGAGCCATGAATGAGTCCTACAGTCTCTGGATCCCAGTTGAATTGGGCTGTCTGTAAAGGAAATGGGACACATGCTGCAAGATAAAGCATACTCATTGTGAGGTAACTGCTGCTTACAAGTCACACAGAAGTCACCCTGCTCCAAATGAAGCCTCTCTACACTGGCTGCTCAGGATTGCTGGGCTTGAAAGCCTCCAGTTAAGGCAAAAGGATGTTCAATTCCCCTGTGAGATTACTGCTTTGGCTCTTAGGAATGGGAAAGGTTTCAGCCATAAAGCACCTAATGCTGGACCTTCAACTTTGCCACTTGCCACTGCTTCTCCCTGGGCTCCTTAAACTCGAAGCCTTTGCTTTCAAGACTGCCCAGAGTTATAAGAAGGACCTGATAACTTTCAATGGACGTATCCATTTTCCCAAGCTTATCAAGGCTGCTTAAAGCCTTTGAGTTGATTTATTTCCTGGTCAGATTTGTTCATGGCTCTCCCTGTCAGGGCCCAGCTCTGATCCTCCACTGTCAGCATCAAATGGCATGGGGCAGAAAAGAGTTGGAGGCGGGGAGAATATCTGAAGACAAAGCAATCTGAAAATAAAACCAGGTAACACTAGCCAGTGACTAGTTTATCTTTTGTTAGAAGTGATGCCAGAGTAGCCAGTTTTCACTAAAATACCACACAGAACTGGCAGCTGTAGTGATAAGCATTGACATCTCTTTTTTCGGTATTACTTTCTGCATGTTAAAGAAAAACAGTTTTTCCCACTACACTGATTTTTTGCTCACGAAGAAGCAAACTGAAAAACAGCTCACTGTTTGACCTACAGCCAGATGGCATTAATTAGCCAGACATGTTTACAGAAGGCTAAAGGGTTTCCTTCCCCATCAGTACTCATTTTGATGTGTCCCACTTTCCTGAAGTGAAGCACTTCTGTTTAAACACCTAACTTTCTACTGGCAATTTCCAGTTCAGTTTCTAGGCAGTGTTAATTTCTGAAGACAGAAACACCATAAGATATGGAAGAAGGTTCCTCCTGATTCAGAAGATGCTCATATCCAAACCCTATGAGTTTAGATTGTGGGAGAAATATACTCCCGTTTTCTGAAATTGCCTCTTCTGAGCTTCCCAACCTATGCAGGCACATACTTTCTCTTGCTTAAGTACAGAACCTGGAAGTCCCAGCAGGACCATGGGGAGCAGAGATCAGACTGAATAAATACAAATTCAGCAGGAAGTCTAAGCATTGCTCCTATGATCATGAGTCATGGAAACAGGCATATTTTAACATTAGAAATTTATGATAGACATTTTCTGCACTCTTCTTTACCAAAAGTTAAAAAGTGTAGGAGAAAAGCTGATGAATAGTTGCACAGCATTTCATTCAAGAGTCAAGATTCCTATGAATTTGTTAGGCCAAAAACATTCAAAAGATATCCAAAAATAAGTCAACAAGTACAGCAAATGTAGAGATTTAAGTGAATGAAATCCACAAATGTACACTTGACATCACAGCCAAATACTGAGGGAGGATGGGGAATGCTGTGGTATGGATTGGATGCACCTGCTGGGGTGCATTGAGATAAAGCTGTGTAGGATCTGCTATGGACCACATGCCATCCACTGCAAATTTGAAAACAGCTTGGCACCTAGCTCTTAATAGCTCCTAACAACAATCTATGCTGTCAGAAACCTGATGTCTTATTGCCAGTGACTGCTTTAAGGTCTTGAGAATTATCCACTGATATGAATGTAGTGGCTGCAGCCCTACATAAAATAATTGCTAATTCCTTCTGCAGCAGCATCAGAGCACATTTCCCTGAGAGAGTGTAAAGAGCAAAAGCTTCTGCCACCACAGCAAAATCTGTCTACAGCTGACAGATCAGCAACCTGAGAGACATGCAAATTCAGTTCCCATTTCAGGTACTTAAACCCTCTCTGTGACACTGCAAATCCTCAGATCTTGAAGGTTTTTCATGTGACTTCATCACATAAATAGGAATTAAATGACTGCACATCTATGTGCATTAACACTGAGGTGTCTCCCTCATTCTGCTTTTATAATCTGTGCATACACAGGACCTTGCTATGTGGCATTTGGGTGATTTCACAGCGGGATCTGCTCAGAGCAGTGAAAGGAAACCATTTTCTCACCCTCAGCTCTGGCTTTCCATCGACATAGACAGTGTTGTTGTTGACCATCTCCACAATGGCCACGCCAAGGTTGCACCTGATGCCGAAGGAGATGCAGAAGCCCAGGCCGCTCATGATGGCGATGATGTAGCGCTTGGGCAGGCCGCAGCAGTGGCACTCGCACGGCGCGGCCTGGCGCCCGCTTGCCGCCACGGGCCGGCCCTCCGCCGTCAGCTCCAGGGGCTCCTCCTCCACATTGGTGCCATCAAGCTTCCTAAACACACGAGGGAAGGAAAAATGAAGGTGCCCTGTCGTCTCAGTAAAATTTGCTGAAACGCGGATGGACAGCCCCGTGCTCCGGTCACCTGCTAGCTCCTGTTGGGAGGTGCTTGTCTTTGGGCAGTTGTGAGGAGAGTTAATGCTGAACAGGCTGTGAAACGTTAGCAGAGACCACACTTTTGCCTGAATGACTTCTGAAGGTTGCACATCTGAACCACCCAGCCAGACAGCCAGCTGCAACAATGTTCACAGGCTATTCATGAGCACAACTATGAGATCTAACTGGAGGTCTGTTGTGATAAATTCCATTGATTCTTTGGAAAATTTATATATGATTAAATTAACCATAATTTCTGACTAGATTTACTAAGCAGAGCTGCCAGTATATTTCAAGGATAAAGGCAAATACAACACAAGGCATGGTTTCACTCAGCCCCAAACTTCCTGGAATTTGTTTTCTCCTGTGAGACAAAAATCAGGGCTGTACAGCAGAGGAGAAACCTCTCTGGCATCAGATCCCCTTTTAAAGACACAAAAGTGACAGGCCCAGACTTTATTTGCCGATCAGCTACCAACTAACACGGGAGTGCCACTCCTCAGGCTTTGCATATCCAGCCTTTCCTTTTCCCATAGGCAATCTATCTGAGATATTCATATTGAACAAAATGGCACTTCCATGCAATCTGGAATTGCATGATAGTGCAATTAAAATTTACTTTGGTCTTGCGATTTGATTAGGGCTATTAACATCGTGCTGCAGGACCAGGCAAAGTCTGTCATAGGAAAGGTGAGGTAAGAAAGCACTAGACACACCCACCAGACCAGAGCTAAATTATTCCTTTTCTAACACTGCCTTTACAGGTCTATTTTAAAATGCAGATTACGGTTTTTCTGACATGCTGAAACACTGAAGGACATGACTAGCTGTGACTAACCCACTGAACACTGACCATAAGCTTAAGGTTAAGCCTTTACTAAGAGAGGCCTTGATCAGGCCTTTCAGTTTTGGCATCACCCTGAAGCACTGAGCTCAGGATCCAGCTCTCTTTGTGCCTGCCATGGAGTACTGTGAAAATATTTAACCTAAAGGAAGCCCAGCTTGCCATGTAAAATGATGAGATTATTTCATTTACTGTTTTCTGAGAAGGAAAAACATATTTCCTTCTTCCACATATCTGGTTGAGTGTATTTGAAATCTAATGTATATATTTGATATGCATTTGAAACATCAGTTTTCAGTATGAAAATCAACATAAACAACTCTGACAGAGCATACATGGATGGGCTACATCTGTCTGGGTTGGGTTTTTTGGGACAGTGTTGGTTAAATCACTGCTTTTCCCAATTGCTTTAAGTCTAATGCACTACCCATAATCTAACAGATAGTACTCTAGACTGGACAGTTTGCAGATAAACATGTTAAGTATGGCTTCTTGTGCACTTAAATCTATCTTTCCAATATAAGGTTTCACTTCAAAATATCATTTTTAGGTTCTAGAGCTAACTGGAGCATCATTTACCATATTATTCCTTTTTACATCACAATATAAACCCATTATTTCAGCCATAGTCTTAGCAAAAAGAAAATAAGCACGCTGCAGTCCATCAGCTCATGTTTTCAAGAAACACTAGAATCACAGTGTTTTGGGCCAAAAGGGAACTCCTGGGATTATTTTATTTAATTCCTTTCTCAAACCAGTGCTCACTGCAAAGTTTGATCTTTAGCTCATTGTCAGACTGGACCAAAGCCTTTGCATTCAAGCAAGGTAACATAGAGAGTGTGATCTTACTGTGGTGTTATTGGGGGTGATGGAGATCTTATGATTCACCTGCAGGGAAACAGCATTTGTTAGTGACATGGGAGTACAGAGACTAATTCAGTCAGGCGCTTGAAAAAGAAGACACCAGTATTCCATGTCCTATGTGTTAACAGAGGTAAAGGTAAAAGGGATGAGATATCAAAAATAAAGACCTCAGGAAGTGAAAAAAATTGAATAATTATTTTTGAACTGTTATAATCTCCAAGAGAAATAATTTGTCTTTCTCTAACAGAATATAAGATATTGATGGAATTAAATCAATTAACTATTCTCCAAAAATTACCAGGCTGTATTTATAAGAGAGACATTAGACTTTAGGGGGTGCATTATTTTGGGCAGCTGGCAAAAATTAGACACTTCATGCAAAGCCAAAACATCTGGACATTTTCAGCTGGCTGTCAATTCAGATAGGCATGAAAACATCCTTCTGCTCCAAATTCAGTGCTAAAAGTGGTGACCTAGGACTAGAACTATGGACCAATGTCGTCTCTGCAGAGAAGTTCATTATTCTGCTATTGTATTTGACTAATGTAAAGAAGCAAGTTGAGGACTGATCCATCACCCCAAATCCACACAGTTTATTTCCTACTCCTGGAGATTAATTTCAATGCCTCCATACCAGGCTTGTCTTGGAGAAAACTATTTTTCAGTAGCAGTCCAAACACATAGGTATTTAAAAAGTGCAGGCATTCACACAGCCAGTGTCAGCACTGCTTTTTTGGTTTTATTTTATTGAACAGGTACACAATGAAAATATGGCAACTCCATGGAATGATGAGAAATTTATCTTCCAACTGATCCATGCATTTTCATAGTGTCAGTGAAAATTTTTACTAGTTGTTTACCAATGACTTAGAAGGAAACTGGTTCAGGGCCAGTGCTCTCCTCTAATTATCAGCCTCATGCAGGAGATGCAGGTGTGTAATTTCCTGCACTGTACATGTTCACTTCTTAGATCTGTTTTTTCCTTTTTCAGCAAATGTACAACATTTGGCAAGTAAGAAGGGCTAAGTTATTTGAATCTGCATCCATATTCTGTGCTCAAATGTCATAATAACTTTGTGCAACATTTCTCTTTTTTATTGAATGCCTACTGTGGCATATGCAGAATTTTGAATGCATGAAAGAAATATTAAAAATCCCTATCAGTAATAAATAAAATCCCTAGAGCACATATACATTCGGCACTCTTTATTTAAGGGGGTTTTAGCAGAGGAATTAGTTCTTTCTAGGTGTACTAGAATTTAATTTCATTTATTAAAAACTCATTGATTGTACAGTAACAGACAAATGTTAATGTCTGTTGTGTTAAAACACATTCTAGAATGGATTTCACCAGATGTGGCAGTCTTTCACAGCTGCAACACAATCATACACAATGTTCAAAGCTCACACCTACAAATCCATTAACTACAATGATCCCTGCATAACTTCAGAAACCAGTAATTATAATTATCAATAACCAGAAATACAGTAATAACAATTAAAAAATCATTAATCCAAAAGCAGATATAATCTCGTAAGATCTTATTAATTCTTCGGGGATTTGTCCAGGTGATAATTTTCCATAAGAAATCCTGTGTTTGATGCATTGGTACCAAATCCCAGCACAAACACCAAACTCTCTTGAGTTACTCAGGGCATGGGACATCTCTTGCTGGTTTCTGCATGGTATTTCCATGAAACCCACAGCAAGGCTCAGACACTGAGGGACTGCATGGCCCAGGTGCTGCACTCCTGGGCTGCAGGGCAGTCTGTCCTCGGTGCAGTGAAGGAGCACTGCAGGGATGTTGGGCCCCTGGGTGCTGCACTCGCTGCATGAGTGCTCTGTGCCCTGGCACTAACAGTGCTACAAAGGCACAACTCGTGCATCAGCTGGGTCTGCACAGCCCACACAGTGCTCACAGCACTGCACAGTCTGGGAGGCACCAAGCTCCCCCTGCTTTTATACAAAGGGAAAATCTGAGAGGAATAACTCCATGATCCACCACAGTCAGAGGAGCCCTGTCCAATGCAAGCGTCTATCACCCAGCTTCAAGATAAAGTTTTCAGCAATTTAGGCTAATTCACCAAGGGACATCTACAGCAGTCAGAACTACACCTATCAAGGCTACACTTCATACAGCAGCCATTTGCCATGGCCCATATGTCTTTTCACATTAAAAGTGATAATATTGTAAACCCACTTAAACACTTCCCACTTCACCAAGAAGCCCACCGTTGCCATTAGCTGGTCCAGGACTCCTGAAATCCTTAGAGTAGGGAGAGCCTAATATCTTACTTGAGTCTTTGGCTTCTTCCTCGACTGCAGTAAGTTCACAGAAGGACCAATATGTTTGTGTCTGTCAATAAGATCTGCAGGAAATCTTTCTTTTCTGAGAAACATAATGATGAGAGAGCCACAACTTTGATATTCATTCACCCAAGCCTTGAATTCTCTATTTTTTTTCTGCCCCACTGCATAAAATAATCAAGAAAAAAACACTTTTGTGTTAAAAAAAAATACAAAGCATTTACAACATTTTCTAAAACATTTTCTAAGATCTCACAAATCAAACAGCTGCCAATAGCCAAAGAAAGGATGGCTCTTGTGTCTTCCAGTTCAGTCTTCCCTGCCTCCCTTCCAGGATCCAAACACCCTAAAGTCACCTCCTGTGAGTGGACTCTTATTTTGCAGCACCCACAAATAAGCACACCTGTGAGGAGGCAGTAAGCTGCTTTATGCTGCTTGTGCTTTAGCACTTGAGCTGGACTGCGGATAATTGCTATGGAGCAGCTGCTCTTGCCAGACATCTGCTTCTCTCTCGTTTGCAAGACAGAGGAAACGTGGCAGGAAGGCACAGGCCAGTCATATTTACCAAAGTTAAAACATGTTTTTCTACCCACTTTGTCAGTTTTGACATCAACACACCACAGTCAGTGAAGGCACACTTGGAGATCTAATCAAGGATGTGCATTATAATAATTCATCAAACTATGATGAATGCTAGAAGAGAAACCAAATTTTTTGCTGATTTTCACCACATTAAAGATAATTGTATTGAATGAAGAGCAAAGTCAAGGTTGCAGCTGGTATATAGATATATGTGCCACCATATAAAAACACAAGTGTGTGTTGTCATTTGTAGACTAAGCTGTAGAGAATGAAGTTCATGTTAAAAACATGCATGTTTCATTCATTTATGGAAACTTTCAAAGATGTCTGCATATTTCCTACAGGACTGCTCAAGTCGCAGCAATTCTTACTTAGATCTGACTGCAGAGATAATAAAAAGATTTTAGAGTTTGGATTATTTCCTCTGCTGATTGGTATATCTAAGAAAGGCTCTGAGATACCTACATTTAAAATAGAAAATAATTAAGTTCAGCAAACTTTCTTGCACCTCAAGTGATATTTGGGTTAATTTGATTCAGGAGCAGTGTTGCTGAAGTTGGCTACCTGTGCTACCAACTGTGTAGGAAGTAGCATTACAGCTTTAATACATGGCTACAAGAGGAGAGCAATCTGGATAATCTAAGGTGAGCTCAGTGTGCTGCTGCACCATGTATTCACTAGATACAAACCTTACAGGTATTTGGTCAAATTGACCGGCAGAGCCCACAGCAGAGAGAATTTATCACTGAATAAATTACTTTAATCAATGTTCTAAAAAATAAACAGATTTCTTGGAATTACTGTAGAGTATTATAAAAGTAAAAAAAAGAAAAGCAAAACAGGTTTCATCTGTAACACTGTAAATTAAAAAAAGTTAAGTAGAAATTGTGTGGAACACAGATACTCTGTTCACGTGATAAAGAAATAGAATAACTGCAGTATATTATATGTAAATTCTTACACATTTTCTTGTGATCAAAGGCTTGGTTAGAATTACTATTTCTTGACTCAAAATAGCATTCCCAATAGAAGGCAAAGGGGTGGATATGAAAGCAAATATAATTCAGTCACCAGAAACACCTTCAGTTAAAGTGTTGGCCTGATCCACACAAAGATTTAAAACACAACATCAAGCATGGAAGAAATGCCACTAACCCCTCTGGCTCTCATCTATTGATTACACAAATAAGTGCTGTCAGTAGCCATTACAAACATAAATAAGCTTCTCTTTAAATGAGAAATATCTTCCCCTTTATGAAACTGGGAATTTCTTACATCAGATTTTCATTTCTCTAAAAATAAGAATACTCCATTTCTTGGTTCATAAAACTATCAGGTTAAGATGAAAATCTTAAACCTTTTTTCTGCTTCTGATAGCAAACAGCTGCTTCTCCTTATTCTCTCTCTAATTTGCTAGTGTCAGTAAACTCACACATACACATCTCTATTCAATACATTTTCTCTTACTGATTTGGAACAAGTTTTAAAACACCCCAAACCTGTAATTTAAGAACATTACATCTAATTTCAAGAGTGGCATCATTGGGAGTGTTAATTCCCATTAAATTATTGCTTTTTCCCGTGCAAGTTAAACCACAGAATTAATCACATTTAATTATTTAAAGGTTTCTTAATTAAACAGTTCTTCAAGCTCTTTTTAACATTAGAACATTATTTCATAATTTATTTTCACCTTTTTTTGATATAAATATTCTATGATCTACAGTCATATGCTGTTGTAACTGCTCCTTTTACATCTTCTGTCTTACAGCAAGCTGTCTTACTCTCTGTACTCAGATATTAATTTTGCAACTCTGTAGTCTGTTGTATGTTTTTACATATTTTTTCTATACTGCATTTCTCTTAATAAATGGAATCGATGGACCTGTCTGGGAATTTTCTGTTGGGTTTTACCTTCTCAGATTCCCCAGCGAGTCGCTAATGGTGTTCTTCACCTCTTCCTTTCCTGGGTTAAAAAATCTTTCTTTCAGTGAACCAAACCCTTTGAAAGGCATTTTGTCTTTCTTCTTCAGTAAATCCCTTATGTTAACGAGCGTTCACTTCTGCTGTCATATTTCCCAATGCCAGAGCCGGGAGCCTCCACCAGTCCCCTCGGTGACCTCTGCAACAACAACCAGTTGCTCAAGAAAGGAGTGGGTAAAAAAATAATAATAAAAAATAATAAAGTCAGATCTTGCAAAGCCAGAAGGGAAAAGCTGTGGAGCGTGGCCCTGGGAGCAGCTCTGGTGCCTGCTGTCGGTACCCGTGCAGGGCAGCGGCTCCGGGCTGACGCTGGGAGCTGCAGGTGCTGCTCAGGCCAGCCTCCCTGGGCAGGAGTGCTGCCTGCTCCACAGGCAAACCTCAGCCTGCCTCGCTGGGGCTCATCCTCTGTGCATCCCTCCCTCCTTCCCTCCCTCCCTCCCTCCCTCCCTCCCCTGCCTCTTTCACACCGAGATCCTGTGCAAGGTGGTGCTATAGTAACAGACACAATACCTGTCCTCAAGCCACTCCAGTTCGCTAATAGGACCTCATCTATGGCAAGGGCCAGAAGTTTATTAAATATTTACGAGACCTTTCTGCAGGGAGGGAATTATTGCAAGCTACAGCTCCCATTCACTGTGTACCCCCCACTCAGGGGAGGCTCCCTGCCCCAGCACACTTGCTGGTTTGAACCCAAAGCTGCCTTCCCATGCCTGGCCATTTATTATTGATGTTGCTGGGCCCTTGGGCAGACAGGCATGGAGGGGCATTGGTGCGACGCTGTTTGAATAAGCAATGGGAGACCAGCCATAAATTGAATCCATTGCATTTTGAAACACAAAGTGGCTCAAAGAGGTGAACCAGTCCAACTCAGTGTGACTGCATGACAACACTCTTCCTAGCATGGCAGAAAGTACTTAATGAAAACTCTTGTGGAAATGCAGCTGGCCACTCCATTCATCATGCCTGCACATTGGCTGGCGTCAAGTGAAGAATTTCTGCTTTTGGCAGGGCCTCAGATATTGGATTTGGGTTATGGACAAGTTAAAAAAAAACCAAAAACCCAAAACCAAAACAAAAAACCCACAAAACCAAAGAAAACAAAAAACCCAAAACCCACAAACAAAACAAAACCACAAAAACAAACAAAAAACACCAAAACCAAAAAACTCAAAAACAACCCAAAACCACACACACAAAAAATAGAACAAAATTAAAAAAAAAAATACCCCAACCAACCAACCAACCAAACAAACAAAAAAAAACCAAAAAAAACCAAAACCAAAGCCACAAACCATTTAATATATTCCCTCTTCCATCAGTCCCTCCCCCTTCAGGTGATGGGGAAGGCAGAAATTCGGTAGATTGTTAGAAAAACGGAGAGCTTTGTGTTTGGCACATTACCTCACTCTTACAAGGAAAGTGAAATGAAGTTCCTGTCAGTGCCTCATCAGGCCAGCAGCACAATAAGAATTGATTGCCCCTGGAAGTCCCCAGCTGAGAGCTGCCATGTGGAGGACAGGCAGCTGCCCATCCACCAATCCCAGCTCCTGTTCTGCCACAGGCCACCTGGTGTCCCTGAGCCAGTGGGTGACTCTGAACCCTCCCTCCTGCCCTACACTGTCCTCATCCTTCCAGGCTCAGGGGCCACACTTTGACCCCAGTTTCTGTAGAGCTTGATCTAGCTCTACAGAAGTTAGGGGAAAGTGTGGCCCCTGAGCCTGGAAGGACTCTACAGAGAGGAGAAAAAAAGAAACCCAGAAATTCCTCCAGAGAAACAAACTAGATCTGATGTCTTTTTCTCTTAAAAACTCCTCATTTGGGTGTTTGAACTGAGTGAGCAGGTTTATGTGGGATGTAAATCTGGGCCAAAGCGGTGAAAGAGCTATCCATTCATCCACCACTTCTTTCCTCTCCTGGCTCCTTGCATGGACCTCCAGTCTATGGGTTTTAGAACTTTCCATAATACAAACACCAAATGTCTGGATTGTCCTAGCTCCACTTTGAGGAAGGTGATTTTGGAAAATACATTTTCTCAGGGTTATGTGAGACAGGCAAGCAGCTTTCACTGAAATCCTTTATTCCTAGTATGAGCCAGGAGGGAAGAGGGAGAGGGAGCATACTTAGGAGCTGAGAGTTTGCCTTTGCTGCAGTCTCTTTTGTTGCAGCACTGGTTAGAGTTTCTTCTCCTCTTTGAATAATTCATGTGATGTAGGAAGTGTTGGCTCAGAGCAGCCAACACATTTGTCCTTGCAGAACAGTCCTCTCATAGCAAGCATTTAGAACATGGGTACCTCCAGATCTCAGCACTACCCACCCACATGCCCCTGGCAGGGCTTCTCTGGGTGAGTTTCTCTCTAGCTGGGTTGAACAGCAACTGCTCTCACTGCCAACTCAAGGACTGGCCAGTGATCTTCCCTACAGCACATCCCCCTGCCCTGCCAGCAGCTGCACCGCCTCCTCCTCCTCACACTGCTCAGACTTGCACCTGGCCATCTCCAAACTGAGCAAGAAGAAGGAATTCCTCTTGGTTTCTCACTCCAGACCCCTAATCCTGGTTTACCACTGGGGTGTGTGACAGGCAAAGCAGAAGGTCACCATGAGGTGGTGGCAGCAAGGCCCAACATGACCACGTGTGTGCATTAAAGCAGCCCCTCTGATTTCCACCAGGCACACAGAAAATGAACCCCAGTAGCCCAGCTGCCTGACACCAGAGGTACATATGGGTTTGGGAATATATACATGTGAAACTATGAAACAAAATTGTCTTCCATGTAAAAAAACATGTATTTGCTGGCATTTAAGATAGTATTCTGAATGCTCTTGCAGCAGCTGAACACCTGAAATTATGGAAGAACCTAGTTCCAAACTGGAAATGGTGCAACTTCAGTGAAGGGAATTCACTTTGGAAGACTGGAACTCAGGTGGGAAAGTGGTGTTCAGAACCCATACCTGCCAGCTGCTGTGGAAAAAAGGGTTTTATCTTGTCCATCTTTCTGGTCTTCTGGTCCTGGTTTGGAAAAAGAGAGCACAGAGCAGACACAAGAAAGGAGTTATGCTTAAAATGTGGTGTTTTGTTCACTTACCCACACATTCTCCAGTTGCATTTAGCACAGATGTCTGAAGCCTGTCCTCCATGCATTTGGGGCTGATTCAAGTGGCTCCCTCAGAAATCCATCCTGGCTGGCCCCTGGCAGAGTGTGCTCCCCTCAAGGATGTAGGGGTCTCTCATTAGCAATACCCCTTGCCTCGCCATTAACTGAATTACACATTTCTCACAGCAGGTTTCCTCTCTCCCCCCTCTTTACTCTCAGGAATCCTTCACTTCCTGCACATCTGCAGTGCTTCAGCAGTAACCCCTTTAGAAATTCACAGATACTTTCTCTAAGGCCTAGAGAAAGTGTGTTAATCACTCCTGCTTCTCTGAGGGCAGGCAGCTCCACAGGAGCAGCGCTGCTTCTCTGTTTCCTCCTCCTCAGGCTCACAAAGTAACAAACTGCCTGGATTCCATAGCACTGCTGCAGAGACTGTCACAGCAGCTTGGCAGTGCCCTGCTCCTGCTGGGGCACCATCCACAGGGCACCACCCAATTCCCAGCAGGAATGTGCTGGATGAGGCCATGGCGACTAATCCCAGCATGCATTCCAGAGCATCAGCTGAGGATAAGACCGAACATGATAACAGCCCTTATAGACCCAGCTGTCATCATTACTGCCTTTTTCTTTCCTGTTTTACCCTGTGCCCTAGTTTTCTTTTTCAGAAATTATACCACATTGTGATTCTTCTTTTGCTGTCTCAGACCTCCTTAAAACACAATGTATTAAATAATTTCATTTTAAGTCTACTGTTTGCAAGCTGGGGCTAAGTCTAAGATACAGAACTTGCTTGCACTTGTAAGGAAATATTTTGCAGAATTAAAACTATATGGCTCACATAGCTTGTGGATTGAAACTACAAGTTTCAATTGAACTACTACTATTGAAACTACAGACTCCTATCCCTAGAGAAAACTAGTAAGTGTATTGAAACCATATTTTAGACCCAACGCAGAACCTAAACCAGCATGCAGATAGCCACTGCTCCATCACTACCTCAGTTGTTCAAGAGTAAAGTGAGCTGCAAGAAAACTCGAAACTGGTCAAATGCACATCCAGGAGATGTGCCTTCCTAACAAGAGCTGTGCCTTGCAGACACAGGGCTTGATTCAGAGTTTTAGCAACCCCTTAAGAAAACCAAGCTTGCAAATATCAGAACTAGCAATAAACATAACTTGTGTGGAACAGTACTTTCTACAGGTACAAGTAAATGTACCCCTAGAGGCTATCTAATTTTTTACAGTTATTTCTTTTACTAAAAAGACTTGAAATATCATCTTTATGCTGCTCCTACTGATGATTCCTCAACATAGTGGACAGGGTAAAGTCTTTGCCACGTTTAAAAGAGATTTTTTGCTACTGCTTTCAGTGCAGACTGGATAGCATACACATTTCATGTGCTGATTGTCTTGCAAGCAGTCACTTCTCCTAATGCTTGTAAAATATAAAATTTTGATCTCTTTACAAGTATTTAATTATCACAGTAATTGACCCTGACACTAATATCCTGAGAAAGTCAATTTAACCTTTTGGTGTCTGCTGAATCAACATAAACATGCTTCACTTTGTGCTGTGATCAACCTTAACAACAACCAAAGGCTGCTGGGCTCCTCCAGTGGAAATACACGAGAATAACTTTGTCAATTTTTAATCAGTTTCTTTTCAGTTCAAGGCCATGTGATCACATCCCTGATGCTTGTGAGATGATTTTTAGATCATAGTTTGCTCTTGTTATTTGGAGGAACCTTCTTTTGTTAAAGCAAGACGACTCTGCCTTTTTAGCTCTTACCAAGAGCTCAAAGGCTAGAAAATCCTGAGTGACCTCTCTTACTAACTGAAGATTTCTTAAAATTAAATTGAATTTTAAAGTTTTGATGCTTCAAAATTAAGTATCTTTGAAAGTTTTAAATGCATCCATTTCTTGCAAATGGAGCAAAGTAATGAAGCAGAGATAATGAATATTGGTTTTACCT